GTAAGTAGTGAAGTAAGGGTAAAAGTACAAAATGTAAATAGTGAAGTAAGGGTAAAAGTACAAAATGTAAGTAGTGAAGTTAGGGTAAAAGTACAAAATGTAAGTAGTGAAGTAAGGGTAAAAGTACAAAATGTAAGTAGTGAAGTTAGGGTAAAAGTACAAAATGTAAGTAGTGAAGTTAGGGTAAAAGTACAAAATGTAAGTAGTGAAGTAAGGGTAAAAGTACAAAATGTAAGTAGTGAAGTAAGGGTAAAAGCACACTAATCAAAGTGAATTAGTACTCAGAACAATAGCACAGTATAGATGTAACATTACTTTCTCTGAGTCACTAGTGCTTGTTGAAAATCATGTATTGACAATGTCAATTGACATGAGAATTGGACAAAAAATGAACACTATTATTTGGAATATATATAATATCATGTTACCTAACAATCTGCATTCATGTATTATGTATCACTGAAAAATCATTAAAGTTTAGCCTAAAGATGAGCATGAAGGCATTAATACTATAATTTAGTAAAGCTGTTAGCTAACTTTCTTTTCTTTGTCTAATGCCTTTAAATTAGAACACTACTTGTTACATCTGCATACATAGCAAGCTTTTAGTAAAATGTACACATCTGCTATACACAAAAAATCAGAGAAGTTAAAAAGAATTTATACTCAAAATATATCCGTGAATTTTTGACATCAATCTGACTCAGACTCTGACAAGTTGGAGTGCAAGGTAACATCCATGTGAAGAATAAAAATACTTTTCACCATCATATAGTTTGTATACTGCATTCGCTAAGTCTCTAAAACATTCAAAATGTATATCTATTTTTTTTTCCTATATATTGTAACTGGTATATTCTCTGTAAAAGGTCATGACCCATACTTGTGCACATAGAGTTAAATGTGTGATGTCACATGATACTTGGCAACCAGGCCAGGGGGGCTGGCCAGGGACCCGGGCGAATGAAACCTGGTTATGCCGAAAAATCCACAAAGCATCTTTAGGCTATATCTTCATTTAATGATAAAAACCATAGTTTTTGGCTTTTCTTTGCATATAGACACTTGATACATTAAGAACGACTAGAAATAATAATTTGAGTAATAATTATTATGTATTTGTTACTTTATAGATTTAATAGATTATTTGTTGTTAATTTATTGTTTTTACACTTATACTGTGA